GTTCGATGATATCGCGACTTCATCGTATTATTCATAAGGATAGGAAAAGAGGAGTTGATCTTGTTGCTCGCATTTTATAGGTACTATTTCTGACAAAATGACATTATCTCTTAATCGACGGATCGAGATTGAGGCAGAGAGATGAAGGAAGAAAGAAAGAGAGAGAGAGAGAAAAGACACGAAGCATGATATCGCAAAATCGCGTCTATCTTACTTGACAGGCGTTTCCATTCTCGATCCGATACTCTAATATGTATGCAGCGTCGGCTATTCCTTTCTTCCTCAGACAGTGATAAATTTATCGTTACGTTCATTCTTAATCCTTTCGATCCACCGTCCCCCTTCGTACTCTCGTCTCGTCTCGTTCTGGTCTCGTTCTCGCTGAGGTATCCGTTCCGATTTCGCAAGCGGTCCCGAGATACTCCGGCACTCTCCGATGGATTGTATCTCTCCTCATTGAGTTCGCTCGACCGAAATCGAGCCCATCGGCATCCCACGCGCAAAGGAGCTCCGACGTGTAATGCCGAAATGGGAAGCGAGGTGGGATCGCACGTGTGCAGCATCGAAGAAAGACCGGTGATGTCGGCGGGATTATACGAAAACCTTGCCAAAGAGCAATCTCCTGTTAAAGAACGCCAAAATGCGCAACATACTGTGCGTTTGCTTCAAAGAGATAGTTCCTTTACGAGCGTATTCAGTGAATACGATTAAGCAAACTAGTAATTTATAAAGCGGGAACTGTTGAAGAAAATGTGTTCAGTTAATATACATTTTAATATGGATAAATGGATCAAAAATATGCATTATTAATAATTAATTATATCTTATATCATTATGTATTTGAACACGAGTGGCGAAATGATATCTCTTAAGTAATTGACGCAATTTCTTGTGTATACGTACCTTATATAAAAAGAGAAAAAGAAGCGTGTGTGCAGGATATTGCGAAGTCGATTTCAAGGATTCTTATCTTCTACTTTGAAGTTGTTTAATATAGCGAGCTACGATAAAAAGTATCTTTTATGCACGCTTGGTATAATTATCAATTTATGCGCGTAGATATCGCATTATCGGTGCACTGCTTGATCTTTCTCAGCAGCTGCCGATTGCTGCCGAAAGTCGTATCGATTTTAAAATTTACGAATGGTCGGCCTACGCGAGCGCGAGTTCGTAGGACGTGTGAATAGCTACTAGCTACCTGCTTATTATCAAGAAAGTCGTTGTCGAAGTCACATATCTTTCGCACATAATTAATTAATACGGCCCGGGATCTCGACAATAACGACGAGATGCAAACTTGTGCTGGCTCTTTGTCATCCTCACGGGAAATTGTGTCATGGATTTTCAGCAATACATTGAGCGGTTTCGATAGAATTGCGATGACTTTATTAGCGTAGTGCATACTACGTGCTACAAACGTAACTTTGACGGCGACGTAGTTTTAATAATGAATACGTGGTCGTCATGTCGAAATCCATTGACAATTCGCAAACAAAGCGGTGATTCAACTTTGCTTATAAGCAATAAATCCTACCTGGTCCTGCGAAGTCACTACCGCGCCAGATTAATTAGCACTATCGCGTTGCCGTGCCTGAGACTTCTACGGCGCTTATACCCGGTGGTTCGATGATATCGCGACTTCATCGTATTATTCATAAGGATAGGAAAAGAGGAGTTGATCTTGTTGCTCGCATTTTATAGGTACTATTTCTGACAAAATGACATTATCTCGATATCACTCGTAAGTTTCGAGAATACAGAAGCCATCTATACTCTACATTTACGGCGGATGTCGCATTTTTGCCTACTCCGGTAAAACTTAGCTCCGCATGTGCTACAGACCTTCGTGCATGACGAACGATCGACTATAACATTGAATTAACTCTCGACCGATGTATATTTGATTAAATCTGTCGTAGAAAAAGCGTATGTAGCAAGATGCATCGAGTTTTCATTCGTATGCATGACACACGAAATACTCCTCGGTATTTAGCGGCATACGCGACATATAGAGCGCTATATGAGCGTCCACGTGATTATACTAATTTAAATTTGACGAAATTTCGTAAAATCCATAAGCGATAAACGCATCGAAAAAAGCGTGATCGATAATTTACGAAATTAATGCAGAGTATAATTAATCACGATAAAAAAAACTTGAAACAATAATTGAATAAATAAAAACAGATACGGATTCTTTGTCACGCGAATGCCATTTAAATCACTTATAAGAAAATTATAGCGACTCTTTCTCAACTCCCTTTCCATGTTGCGCTCGACCGCGCCCCAATGTCATATAAACAGGAATTAGGCGGGATTCTCTCTGGGGAAGGAAGCTCTCGTCTTGGGACACCCTAATCTCTCTCTTTCTCGCTCGACGAGCCGCTTATGCAAAATCCACGAGTGATGACCGTAAATAACGGTGAGGCAACTTTCTTCTTTCTTTCTCTCTCATCCGTTTACGCTTCGCGCGCGTTTGCCGTCGATCGTTTAATATCGCCGATATGTAGTACGCGCTTGTAAAACGAATAACCAGCCGTGGCTCTCGATACGCCGATGCGTGTTTTCCGTTTCACCGCCACCAGCTATGACGTCGTGTCGCCTCGGGGTGCGTTCGCATGGCATCATCCCTAGACATCATGCCCCGGCAATTTAGCACGTCCCCTTTCCCCCTTACGGCGCTCGCACAGGTAGGTCTTTAATTATCCGGCCGGCCAACGACCGGTTGTCATCGACAGCGGGAATGATGAGCGCGAAAAGACCACCCGCAACTTTCCATCCGCACCTTTCATCTGTGAACGAGTATATCTGCAGGATTGACATAGCGAAATGACGACGAAGGGGTATAGAAAAAGGAGAGAGAAATATACTATATATTTATATTCCGACACTTGATACATGACTCTTATTATGTGAATTACGCAATGACAATAAAATATCCACGTACATAATCGATAATAACAAAAAATAGAAGATAAAAGAAGGAAAAATTATAACGATTAGAAATAACATAAAAAATTTGATATTGCGTTGTATTTTGGAATGCAAAAACAAAACTGCTATATCGCGTTTATTTTGCAAACGGTTGCTGTATACAACGGACTGGTTGATCCGACGAATTTTTAGTGTCCACGTTAATAGATGCTGATTGTTGGGATATCATTCCGTAATTTATTCATTGTCTTCACTGGGAAGCTGTTGCGATCGTTGATCGATGGCGCCGCTGATTCTAGCTGGTCGGCTCCGCGTTGTTTAATTTATTCATTGAACTTACTCTTTCTTTAGCCCGGAAATTTATGATATTATGTTTTATATGCAAAGTCATCGATTATCTATGCACCATTCTTGCCGATTCTTGCACAGGTAGAAAAGCGGCGGCTGTAAAAGCCGTTTTGATTTACTGTTTTCGAGCTTTAACGTATATAGTACGTTCAACTGAAACGTGGACTAAGGTCATTGTTCCATAAAAGTCTCAGTCTATGTTCCATTTAAACGTATCTAATATAACAAAGCATCGATTATTCTTACTCACGCGTTTGACGTGACCAAAAAATAAACTAAGATTAAACTATAAGACCCGTCCCGGAGGCCGATTCGGTCCATATTTGGTCCGATTGGACAGACACAGACTTGCACACATGTATTCGTTGGATCGGGTGGGCGGGTTGAGAAATAACTTACAGTCTTTATAATAATTCTTTAAATATATTCTTGCCCCATTATATAGAAAATAATTTTTTTAAAGTAATATTTATTTGTACTAATAGTCTAAACATATGATTTTGAATAATTTAACTCCAAACTTATTTATGAAAAAATATTGATATTAAAAGTGTAACTAAAATAATATAAATGATACTGAAATTTATTTATCTATTTTTCCGATATTTCTACATCATTGATCATCAACTCATCTATACTTTCAATTTTGATACTTTTTAAATAAATCCTTCTTTGATATCGGCAATGCTTTATTTTTTTCTTCTTATCGTTGGCATTGAGTCAGGTGCAACAAGTATGCAAAACGCTGTTACTGCAAGCTAAGCGTAAAATTGAGTAAATCGTCGTTGTCGATAATGCGAATAATAACATCCGCACATGATATAACGTCACTCCTAACTTTAAATGCGACTCACCCTTCTGTGAAATCTAAATGTCGTACGGAATCGTTCGCGCGAATTTTCAGGTTTCAATTCGTCTGTTGCTTTATGTTCCGTTTTCCGATAACGCGGTCATGTACGAGGAAGTTTGTTGAATAAGGTCTGAATGTATATGACATAACGAGCATGCGATATTGAAGACCAGAAAATAAAAAAACGCTTTCTCGATCCTTGAATGAGAAATAAGGAGCGATATTTGCACACTATGAAAAGCTTAATTTTTTTATTAACCTCATCTATTTCTATGAATTTTGTGCTTACGTCATACAAATATTGCAAAGTTGCAATAGTATTAATAAATTGCAAAAACATTTGCAAATGATGAGAATCATATTATACATAATTAAAGCTATTATAATTTTGATGTTCCATTATATTTTAATATTATATTTAATTTATTATTCAATAAGCTTGGTTTGTAATATAAATTTGTAATGCAAATTATGATATTGTATTATATATTTTTTTCACATAGATTTTAATCAAATGATCATCCGTAAATTAATATCTCATTTAGCACGTAAAATACATACACAAACGCTTTTCTCAAATTGCCTCATTATAACAATCACGCGATGTTCTATCAGAATATGAAATAATTGCGAATATTTCATCTACAATATATATATTTATAGTTGTATAATTACTTTTCGTGTGATTGATGCCGCTAGTTAGATCAGTACATAAATAAATTGTTTGCGTTTCCGGCCATTGTACCCTATATGCAGTTTAACTGGATATATGTTTGTTCTCTCTCGAAATAATTTCGCTTCTACGCTGTTTATGATATCCGGCAATTTCAGACACGTATTGAGATTGATTTAGCGCAAGCCAGTCGTAATGATACTTCTGGCATTTCTAAAGCTTTTTATCGTGATTGCCGATGGCGGTATACTCGAAAAATACGCCAACGTACCTGGAAATGTACACGGTAGGTAAGTGCACTGACATTTCACAATCGCCACCACTTTTGTTGTAATAAAACCTGAGACTGATACTGTCATCGGATTTAGAGTGACAATTATAATGAAAAATTGAAAAATGATTACCTAACAATTTTTAAAACAGAAAGAAATATTTATACATTATTTTAGAGCATTGAACATTTTCGTAAATTATCATATTATTCGCGACATCGTTGTCGGTGACTATTTCTCTTTCGAACGAATCATTCAGGTACACTCGAGATATTCACGGACCGGAGCTTCTAATACCGAGACGAGTGTCTGACGATGGTAGCTTCAGCACGTATTCCTTGCCAAATTTCTATAACCGCCGAGAGATCAGCGGGCGGGACAAGCGATCCCTCGGGGCGATCGATAAATTGCACCTGGTGCTACCCTTCAACGGGATCGATCACCACGTGGAGCTCAGCCCGTACCATGAATTCATCTCGCCCGACATGGTGGTAGAGACACGGGGAGCCGGAATCAGCACTAATCTCGATGAGGGCTTGAGATTCAGGAGGGCGTCCGATCGGCAGTGTCACTATCGCGGCACTGTTCGAGGCCACGACAATTCCAGGGCGGCCCTGTCTCTGTGCGACGGCGTGGTTAGTATAGTATATATCCCCGTTTCGCGTGTAATTCCCCTTCGAGAATCTCGTTGTTAACGAACCGAGAGAAGAATTTCGAGCACGTTTGTGCTTTGTCGCGTTGACATGGCAGAATACGCTACAGAAGTGTTCTGTGAAAGGACCTTCGAAATTTATTCAGACATTTACGGCTGCGCCTCAATTAATTGTCTTCTATAAGTATGTTCGCGATATTTATATTATATATATTATATATATTTAATATCTACAGCAATTGATATATTTTTCCACTATCATGTGCAATGCAGTGCTCTTATATTAATTAATCATTTATACACTTAAATATAAAATAATTAATATACTGCGTGATTGATCATTTGTTTTTAATGGGGAAAGTTAATCAATTTAGCCAAATGAAGAAATATTGACGTAATATCTGATAATATTACGAGTCGCATTTTAATCTTTATGCGCATGGTTTGCACGGATCATAATTAATTTTGATTAGTACTACTGGAGATAGAACAGAATTTCGAAGTGACTGCAAGCGTGTGATTGGTGCATGTAATGCATTCCACGGATTCCTTCGGGAGATTAACGTTAACGAAGCGAGAGGAGAATTGCGATCGTAGTCGAATAGATATTGCAGAAGGGTTGCACAGAAAAATCTGTAAATCCCGTCGAAACTCGATGTATATATATATTGTGAAATTTTTAAAATTACATTTTTTTATTATGTCTGCGAAGTTTATCGCAGTAATATACGACAGAATGAAAGTTTGCGAATTCGAGTGTTCATGATGTAATTTCAATTTATAACAAAACCTCTCAATAGTCGATGCTAGAAACTATTTTGGTAACACGCCATATCTTTAAACATATAGAGCATCAGACGTTTATATGAAGATGGACGCGGTATTATTTTGGTGAGTCTAGATTTCGAAATTGGAGCATATGACGCACATTTTTCTGTATTTATATCGTTGTAAAAATTTTGCAAATTTTTATCCTCTCGAACATTGTGAGTATGTTTTATTTAAAATTGATAAAAATATAAATGGATTGATACGTGCAATAAATAATTATAGAGTAACTTAATTCTTTCATATACAAATACATTATATATATACAATATAAATATATCTATATATCCTAAGTGCATAATAAAAGACTGTCAGACTTGTAAATGCGCTGCATAACATGTCGACACTCACAATCGGCGCAACGCAGTGTTATGGCACATTGCACTTCAGCCAGATTGCATGGCCGATTTGACTATGTGATGTAGCTTTTCCTGGATAGTAGTAAAAATAGAACCAACAATCTTGTAAGAATCACGTGACAGCTATGTGTACTATCGATTCTTTTTGTCTTGTAAACTATATTTTTTTTATGAATTATGAGATCAATTACAACATGAAAAAAATTGAATTTATCAAAATTATTATTGTAAGCAAATTTAATATTTGTCTCTATATACATATATTTGAAGCGATAAACATATCACGATATTTTTAATAATCTCAAAAATAGTTTTCCGCCATGATTCGTTACTTTCAAAGTATAAGGTAAATGATTACCGTATAAATAAACTGCAAGCTGCTGAAACGATCGAATGCCTAATTGATCCCATTAAATGCAAAGTCGCGACGTATTTCGAAAATACGATTGCTATCTATGATTTTTCAGGCGGTTGCATGAAATTACATGATGAATGTAAACATACGCATCCATAGATGATCAAAATACGACTCGTTTGACCTTTTCCATTATAACATTCATGATGTCGATGATATCGGCACCTCAGTTTTATCAGTCTCTATATATATAACATCTTCGATATATTATAATATACGTAGAAGACGTCATTAATGCTTTAACACACGAATTTATGCACATATCGGAACATATATGCATTTTCCATATATGTACATAGGCATTAATAGACATACATAAGGCATTAATGACGCCTTATGTACATATATCATATTGAAGATATTTTTATACATCGGATTCAAAATTCCGATCTAATATAACTTTTGATCTGTGTTGAAATGTCAAAAATTAACCCGACCAGATAGAATCTTTTATTAATTTAATTACTTATGAATTTTTTAATGTGCAATGTATAATGGAAAGGAAATAGGGCTTACAATATATTACATATAGAATTTTATACGCTAATGAAATAATGAAAATGCCAATTCTTAACATATCTTTAACATTTAGAATCTTGCAATATAACAACTTGATATTAATCAACTAATATGTTGTGTTGTAAATGTCGATATTTTATTTTCTATTGCTATTATTATCGGCAACATGACACACCTCTCGCGCGCAGGCTGGTTACGTGCAAACTAATCACGGTCGGTACTTCATCGAGCCAGTGTATCAGGCGGAACCCGACGCGGACGGTCAGCACATTCATGTAGCTTACAAACGGGATGCACCACACGAGAGAAAAGAGCAAACCAATGTTGTATCGAAAAGACATTGTGGAACTAGCGGTTAGTGATTTTGCAGACATTATCTTTATCCTTATTTTTATTTTTCGTTATTCTTAAAAGTAATTTTTCGGCTAGGCATTATTAAGCATTATCCCATTTATTACTTTAACATTTTACTTCAACTTGAGATAATATACAATTCCCCGAGACCATGTCGCATAGACATTTATTATGTAGTGTAACGCGAGAGGATTTCGCATAGTTACGAACGAGCGACAAATAATGGCGTGTAGTTTATGAAAGCTCATTCTCGCTTTAATAGACAACTGGGAGTCGGCGTGGGCGGAACAGTTGGCTAAAAGGCAGATGCAGTTAATGGAAAATAATTCTCTCGGTGCGAAACGCGACACAACAATATCCTCGGGCACACACAGTATACACCGTTACATAGAAATTGGATTAATCGCCGATCGGAGATTTCTTGATTTTCATAATAATACTGATTATGAGCAATATCTCTTGACAATCATGAATATGGTGTCCGATTTTTATCATGACAGTTCCGTGGGAAATCAAATAGACGTCGTCTTAGTACGCATGATATACTTGGAGAAAGAGAAAGAGGAGGTAACGTGCGACAATATAAGATAAAAATTTAAAGAGAGAGAGAATATTGAGCAAGTAAATATTATCGATAATATAAATATAAATATTATCGTCTTATTTACTTGTGAAAAATTACTTGAGCTAGCATCAATTCACGTATGGGCATCAAATTTAGTATTCTATTCAATTTCTTTAAGACAAAAGTAAAAATTGTATATTACTCATTTTAATCGAATTAAAAGCACTATTTGTTTATATGTGATATCCGATTTATCGACACTCGATGCTGCGTGCTCGTAGATAGATTTGCTCATTAGTCCAGCTGCCGAGGAAACGTTGGAAAGTTTCGCGAAATGGGCGGAGAAAATGAATCCGAAGGATGATATGCATCCCAATCATTTTGATATTGCAGTATTGGTTACGAGGTAATTTTTCCTAGGCATCGATTTAATCGTCGTACGCGCATCGCATTGCAACTCGCGTGTATTCTTAGATACGACATTTGCTCGGAGGGAACTAATTGCGATTTGATGGGTCTCGCTCATGTAGCTGCGGCCTGCGACCCAGCAAAGGCTGCTTGCATCAATGAAGACAGTGGACTTTTGCTTGGCATCGTGGTTGCTCACGAAGTTGGTCACGTGTACTGTATCCATCATTTCAATCACAATTATGTGTGTATAAAGTATCTTTAAAAATGATATAAGTGCGGAATTTTTAAAAAATCTTGAAAAAGTACGGTGAAAATTTCCAGTAAAATACAAATGAAAATGCAAAGTTTAAACATTTTCATTTCTTTTAACACGAAAACTTCTAATCTAATATCCTAGCTATAAAAACGCTATAAAAACGATGTCTTATAAAGTATCTAAATTTATAGAATGGGTTGTTCTCACGATGAGCCGGAGACTAGCGGATGCCCATCAATGGACACAGATGAAAGCTACTTTATTATGTCTCCTATTGTCTTCCTATATACCATTAGATGGTCGACTTGCAGTAGGAAATTTATAACAGCTTTTCTCGAGTAAATTGAATTCGTATATAAATAATGTCTGTTTTTAATTATACAATATCAAAAATTCTAAAATTTATAAAAACAGCTATTACATATATATAAAAATTGCCAATATAATAATCGTGACATTTTTCTATGAATAAGGAGCGGATTGGGCGAATGTTTGCTTGACAATCCAAGAAATCCTCCGGAAAAACTAAAATATCCGAACATGTTGCCGGGTGCGATGTACAACGCTGACTTCCAATGTGACATGCTATTTCGTGGCTCAAAAGTGTGCCCGCAATCTCATGTAAAATTTTAACAGATTTTATACGACGTTCGTATTTTAGCGTTTTCAATTCAATTAACGCAAATTGCAAATTACTATTTAGTGAGATTCAAGTTTCTCTTTATTAAAGTCGATTATTTTACTGTACATCAGTTACTTACATTCCGTGTTTCATCTATGACTTGCTTGCCAAAAATTTAAAAAAAAAAACGGCTTTTATTAATCACTTATTATTTATACAGATAATTTAATTACTTTTATTAAATTTAATTAATTGCTGTATTAATTAAATTTAATTATCTTTTGCATTTGGTCACACCGCTGAAATATTAGTTGTTTGAGTAAATTAGACAAAGTTATGTTTTAGCGCACATTTATCTCTATTGATATTAGTTAAATTTCGGTATTGTAACGTTTACACAATATAGTATTGTCAAAGATTGCGCTCAAGTTGCTCCGTCTCACATTCTACTCCTTTAAGATTAATCTCATTAGCCAGGGCTCTTTGCTACCATATGTATATTTCAGACGACTGGCTGCGAGACTCTGTGGTGCTTGACCAACACGAGCTGTTATTCCTTAGGGACGCCAAAGGCTGATGGTACGAAATGCGGTGAGAACAAGGTGCGCGCAGCTTACGTAGAACCTGTTTTCCCGGCGAAATATATTCCCAGCGCGGATTATTTAGCAGTCGCTTAGCGTCGTTGTTTATGCATCCGCAGATATTGCCGGCGACATAAATAATACGTCGCTGCGAGGTGACATCAATTATTAAACGAACGCGAACATAAATGGCGATCGCGTCGAAAGCCATTTGCGAGGCGCGATCCGCGTCCCGGAACGCCGTTGGAAACGTAGCGGAATAAAAGGACGTTTCTCCGTCCCTCTCCCTACAGCGAGAGAGATTTATTAAACAGCGCGCTCCCCTTTCTCGCGCGCGCGTCGCTCCTCGCGGATGTAGATTTCGTCGCCTTCGGCGCGCTCGCGAGAGCGGCGGACGTAGATTTAATCGCGCCGGGGAAATAAATTGAAGTGTCAGGAAACTTCGCGCGACTCACCGCGCTGGAAATTGGTATTCGCGCGAGGCGGAGAGTAGCCCGCGAGACATATTGCATTCTTCTAACCCGCGGGACAAAGGTAATATAAAGAGTGTCCTGTGTGTGCGTGCGCGCGCGCTTGCGCTCGAAATCCAGTGGTGCATACATAAGAAATGCGTGGACATGGGCACTCGACCGGCCGCGGTTCACGGTGGATGGGGCGATTGGGGTCCCATGGGCCCTTGCAGCAGAACTTGCGGCGGTGGTCTCAAATATTCCGAGAGGGAATGCGACCGGCCGGTACCGGCGAACAGCGGTAGATACTGCATCGGCGAGAGAAAGAGGCTTTTCACTTGCAACACCACGGTAAATTGCATCCGTCTTTCGTTGCTCCTCGTGAGCCATTATCTCGCGCGCGGTACTTCAATAGTCGGGTTTCGCCTCACCGCGATACTCCACGTTGTCCGCGTGATTATTCCGGCCGACACTTCGCCGGCCGAATTACAAATTCCATGCTACACACGCTCGCGATGCCGGTGTGTCTCTGTTTTATTCTGATTATCGCGCTGAGGTGGCTGACAGCATTGCGTCGTCACGCGCGTATGGGATTTTTATGTTTCCTAACAGTGAGATATACGAACGGTAATGTGAACAATACAACGTGCTGTCACAAATTCAGTTTGAGAGAGAAAGAGAAAGAGAGAAAAGGAAAGGAAGACTATCATTATCGTGAGCTTCCTCGCAACGGAGCTTGCCAAAATGTTTTAATTCTTTTTATACACGCGCGACGATTCTCTACGCTGTCGCAATTTTCCCGTATGCTGTTCCACATGGAATTCCGTCACATATTCGCCGTAACATTTCTGTGCACTAAATTACACACAGCCCTGCGACCCGACGAAACCGCCGTACCGCGCGGTACAATGCTCGGAACACGACAACGAAGAGATACTGACGGACGGGCTCCATCAATGGAAACCGTACATGGAAGCGAAATTAGAATCCTGCGCGCTCTACTGCATCAATGAGAAGAACACATACGTGAAGATCTCGCCGACGGCGAACGATTCGACACCCTGCAAAGCTGGGACCAATTATATGTGCATCTCCGGAACGTGCAGGGTGTGAAATCGTAACTTTTCGGAGCAAAGTCGTTTGGCCGAGAAATCTATGCTCTTCGCGCTGAAATTGTCGAGCTGATCCGATAAAATTCTTCAGTTAAAAACGTTGAATTCTCTCAATTTTTCTTCTAATTTTTACAGAGAATTTTTCTAATATCTGATATTCTAATATCTACATTAATATATATTCATAAATATTGAATTTTAAATGTCTTTTCAAGCTCTTATGATAATTTCGTAAATATTCATGATTTTTTCTGTGTCTTTAACTCTTCTCGATTTTTTAAACATATCTCTACAAATTCGAAATTCTTAGTTACGGGAAATTATTTTTGAATATACATGTTTACAACACAAAGCATATACATGTACACATAATCAAATTAACAATATACTCGCGGGAGAATAGCACGTGAGTTAAATACTTCCCTGACAACCTTTGCGTTGTTCCAGCATAATTAAATTTAGTGGTAAGCCTCTTGGTATTTATTACACGCGCGTTTGTAATTGTTTTGTTCATGGCTAGTGTAATCTACCATTAATTAACGATATAAATTTGCTAGAACTATGTGTAATATATCAAAGTAGACTCAAATAATCAGACTTGATATTAAAGAAGCAGGTAATATTACAAGTAAAATTTATAAATCAAATATTATTTTTTATAAAAAGAAAAATACTCTTTACAAATACATATCTCTTTAAAGAGTATAGATCATTTTTACAATTTTTATCATATCAAATTGCATGATATGACATTTTCTTGTCATATAAAATATTTGTAACACAAAGTTTTCGTACTGTAGAAAGTCGGATGTGATTGGATGATAGACTCGGACGCGATTGAGGATAAATGCGGCATCTGTAAAGGTGATGGAACGAAGTGTAGTCCGGTCAAGGGTGAATTCATTGAAACAGTGTTGCAAAGCGGTAAATTTTTAGATTGTGCTCGCAATTTGCCATATGGGAGTCACTTTCTTTTTTGCGATACATCGTACGTCTCTCTTTGTAGCGTATACGAAGATCGTAACAATACCGAAGGGAGCTAGCAATATAGAGGTTTCCGAGAGAAAACCTAGCGTGAATATACTGGCTGTGAGACTCGAAAAGGATAAAACATATTGCATCAATGGAGACAAGTGAGCTTTCGCAAACTTTTCGCACGAGAGAGTCGTTCCTTTTATTCTTTTCTTTTTCTGTTCTCTATTTAATTTATAGTGTTTATAACACATACATATACATACACACACAAACGTCCGGGAAATCGCTACACATAGATAAACAGTTTACAGTAATGGTAAACACGTAGTGTGTTTTTCATGTATGTGTTTATTGTATTTTATGACGTCGTCGTTCACGTAGTCGCGAGTTTAAAAGCGGAGATTACGAGTGTGCTGGAACGATAATTATCTATACGCATCCGGAACCGGACAAGGAAGTAGTGGAAATGAAAGGTCCGATATCCGAAGATATTGAGATACAAGTATGCTATGTTTATTTTTCAACAAATATCTCAATATGATTCACGGTGTAATTATCGATTTTGCCCGAATATATTATACGTCTAATTGTGTCAAAATCAAATGCCATTATTATAAAATCTAATCATAAAATATTTTCTGGCTACTACATAAAGGCTCTCCATAAACATTATATATTTTATTTTTTTATTTCTCTTAATTGATATGTAGATTAATGATGAAATATGTATTTAATTCTCAAGTAATACATATGAATGTTTATACATTTATATTTATCCAACGGCTGCAAATCTTTTAGTACGCGTTCTTCAATCCTCAAAACAATCCCGGAATAGATTACAAATATTATGTGAGATCGAAGAGTGTATCGTACACGCCCAAATATATGTGGGACTTTGTCGAGTGGTCAGAGTGCAGTGCTAAATGCGACGGTGGTACGATGGTAATTAACGTGACAACATTAAATGCGCGCGCGCTTGATACGACCGCGAATGCGACCGCTTTTATGTGACGTACGTGTTATCGATTTACATAGATATCCGAAGCGTCCTGCATTGAAGAGCAAGGCGGGCGAGTAACGCCCAATTTCTGTGACAGAATACCACGTCCGGAAACGAAAAGTCGCATTTGCAATCAAACCCCTTGTCCCGCAAAGTAAGTCACAAATTCCAGACATCATAAGTTTTACGCATAGACATAGAATATGTTTATGGTTTTACCTCAAAGTATCGATCAAAGTGTAGGGGCTTTATCAACATTTAATTTGGTAAAATAATTCGCTAAGTGGAGCAGCAACATTTAAGTTAATAAGACAATAAGACATATTTTACACAAAAATATATTCATAAAAATATATTTTAGATTTTACACACACACACACAAAACATACAAATATATATATATATAATATCTACATATATTGATTTTTACTCAACGCCTCAAATAGCGACCACATTGCGATAAAAATTTCTCGGCTTTATTGGCTTCCGTTCAATTGATTCTAATTTCTTTTTTAACGCGATGATGTAGTGCTGCACACCTATACCCGCATACGTTTGCCAATAAATAAAATATTAATGCAGTATCGTATAAACATCGATTTAGCGTTTTGCGCATACATTAGCGTTCGCTCGACGAATCTAATGTAAAACAAATAAATTCTTATCTTATCACCGATCGATTATATAGATGGCGAGTGAGTCAATGGAGTAAATGTAACGCCTGTGATGGGAAGAAGGGTATAAGACGTCGCAAGGTTCAATGCGTAAGACCTGGTGCTCGACCTGGGGAGGATGATATGCAAGCAAATTTAGACGCGTGCAAAGGTCGCGTGCCGAGACAGAAAGAAGAGTGCATAGGTATACAAATGTGACTTTTCGCGTTCGCGATATATTTGGGACAAATACGATAAGATTCGCAATAGAAATTCAAAATTCTCGAATATTGGATTTTGAATATATATACAATGTACCAGGTACAAGACCCTGCAGAACGATGTGCCCCAAGAAAACTCGACAATCCAATGAGCTCGTAACTATAAAGGAGGAAGCAAACTTATCACCGGACGATCAGCGGAGAATAATTGACAGATTCGTCGATCTTGGTCTGGCCCATTACTTGGAGAAGAGCCGTGACAAGTTGCACGACAATGACAAGCTCGAAGGGACGAGCGCCGCTCGGGACTTCCGACAGGTCCTTTACGACTGGGCGATGACAAACGAGGACAAGCGTAAGCGCACCTGCGAGACGGAGGAGAAATTCACCACACCGAAGCCGGGATCCATCATCAAGGATTCGATACCTATCGAGAAGGTTGTATTGCTGCAGGCGCCGTACATGGACGAGTCCCTTCAGTCTAATCTGTCAGACAAGGCGTTTCAGGAAGCCGGCGATCTTGTCGGCGTTGGCATTGACACGAGCCAGCAGAAGGTTTACAAGGGCTCACAGGCGGTCAAACTTATCGAACAGTTAAACTATCATAATCTGACAATGAAACCGCGCGCCGTTTCTACTACAGAGACTAAAGATCTCAATCTATCAGCGGATACCGCGTCGGAAAAGAGGCGTTAAATAATAAAAAATTAAACGTTCACGTAGTATTACGTTCGTATATGTATAGTTGTCGTAGATGTATAAGTTTCAGAAATATACAAACACGTATGTATTAAAGAGATGACATTAGGACTTTGAACATCTTGGTATATATTCTATTATAAAACTTACTCTTTGCTGATTCATATCGTCATCACGATATGATCGATTAGCATGATTGTATGAAGGCCGTCAAATCAAATAAAAAATATACGTATATAACTATACGTATATAAATACACGTATATATAATACGAAAAGAGCAAAACATAAGATATTGTTAACGATAAGCGACATGTGATCGGTTAGACTAACAAACAGACAGATTATTATGTTACAAGATGAAACAAGTATAAACTCAAGATTAATGTTTTGCGCATTTTTTGCCATTTAATCTTTATTAATACAAGAAAATGTCGTGCGCCAGACATTTCCCAATAATATTACCAGGATACGGGCCATTAAGAAGGGAAAATGTTTGCAATCTTGAATCATTACAAAGTATCGTTTCCGCAATAAATACAAACGATGAATCTGAAAGATCAATATTCAATGGCAAGTCGGGTTAGTAGGTCGCGGGAAGGTATCCTCCTCGCGTCGTTCAGGTGTAATTTATGTCGTCCGTCATTCTCGCCGCGTATACAGCCGCATATTGAGAGATTATCTTCGGATTCTAGCAGATCTATCGCCGCTTTACCGTCAATTACGGTCGTGTTAGCCGGACTTAAACAACATTGCTGATTTAATCGAACGATTCATCTTACGACTCTTTACAATCGTCATTCAGCGTGGGCTGAGATTGTGATCGTTAAAATCCGATACGCCTATATAAAAGCTCGCGCCGTAAGCATAATTCGGTCGTATAACGTAACGATTGTTTTTATCGCTTCGAGTATCGGCAATCTCCACATGCGCACGTCTCGCTCTGAAAAGCAACACGCTGATGCCGTGATTCTATTCAATGACTCGGAAAAGTCTTTTTGATGGATCACATAACCGTCGTTTGAATCGACACAAATTCGTCTTATAAACGCGCGTTCTCTGTTTGCTTATGCCGAGGACGCCGTTTCGAAGAAGCAAACGTTTCGCACGAGAGTAATCGATATATTCACACATATGGATGGCTCGTACGATTATAAATTCTTCTCTCTTTTATAATCCAAAGAAACGCCCTCACTTTTTTCCTCGATCATTCATTTTCATTGATCCAGTTTGTCGCGTATACCTTTTTCGCAAAAGATCGATACTCAGAAAGATGCACGAGCTTCCTCCTGAATTATTTGTATGTATCTGAGAGCATCCATACCGACCAAAGTAAATTCCGTGCTGTTTTCCGGCGGATAAGGCTCAAAATTTTTTGGAAAATTCGTGACGACGTTCCTCTCATCGCGTTCCAGAATAATCGTAAGCGTCAAGTTCCCTATGTCCTCTTTATCGATCACTACCTCATTCTTTTTGATCTTACTTTCATTAATTTGTTCCTTCTTACGGTTCGGCATACTCTTTGATCTTTGATTGATTTGAGAGCGATCTTGATACGCCTTAGTCGAATTTCGACTTGAGCCATCCAACGAAATTAAATTCGTCGTTTTACTCGGAAGTGCATTAACATATCTGGTGCCGATCAAATAAGAAAGATTGGTTGGATTCCCAGTCCGTCTTGCCGACACGGACAAGTTATTCGGAAGTCGGTCTTCTACTATGACGCCACTTAAAGGCGTCTTAGACTTAGACTCTCGAGCGGCTTTAATAAAGTCGTTTTGTCGCGTTAGCGTGCTCGAACGAGCGGAAGAGAGCCCATGTTTGCCGTCGGTGGCACTTCTGTCTTCTCGTCTTCGTCGGCTGGCTTCGCAGGACTCCGACTCCCTTGGCTTCGGTCCTTGGCAGTAGCTGTCCTCGATCACGTCGGCATCCTGCTCGCCACGGCCGACAGGTCGCATACATTTGACAGCGCGCCTTCTCTTGCAGTCTGGCGTGCACGGCGTGCAACCTTGCCAGTCGCCAATGATCCACCTGGAATCGCGCGCGACGATAAGAGCAAGATCTTAATTAGTCCGCGACGGCAGAGCAATTATCGCATAGTGTCAAGCCCATTCGTTAGTTTCTTTAGATTAAAGTGACTATTCTGTCCAACACGTCGACATGATATGATCAACAAAATACGATGAGAGCGATATATGTGTGTATATATATATATATCTACATAAGAAGCATACATATACGGCGTAACTCTTTCAATACGTAACCGGCATTTCGCCTCTTCACTATGTATGAAGAAGTTAAAAAGATTATCGATAACGTTTTGTTTTATATAATTAGATATGTTTATAAATATTTCAAGCGTGGAGAAAGTCGTAAAGATGTAGACTTACCGCGGTATGCAGGGAGCTTGATTGCATGGTTTGACCTTTGCGTCTGGTTTAGTGATGTTTCTGCAAAATTTATTATCTACTAGCCCACCAATTTTTTCTATACAACGAGGTTTCGATATTTGTTCCCCCGGGCCGCAACCTGCCGAACATTTTTCCCAGTCGATGAAGTCCCAAGAGAACTCGGCTTTGCGTGGAGTTCGTTGCTTCAATCCTAATGAGTATTTCAATGTGACATTCTCCTTTGGAAAAACCTGTCAGATTTATTCGCTGTTAAGAAGATGCTGGGAAAGGATAAAAAAGCTAGATTTCTCTTTAACAAAGTTTTTAAAATTTAATTGTTATTTTAACTTGAAAAAAATAGACACACCGCGTTTTCGGAAATAAAATTGATCTTTAGTTGTCTCTTAAAATGCAATTGCAAATTTTATTATTTGTTGTGTCGAGAAGAGTTAAGTAAAAATTACATTGAAAAAAAATCAATTCAAAACTTGCATCGAAAATGGTTAATTGCTATAGTTATATTATGATTATAGATGTTCTCAGAAATCGCGTTTCTCTTCGCCCGTTCTTGCCGACAGCATGTTTACGTTCGAACACCCTTATCGAGATATGTTATCGATTTAGCGCGAAAAATGACTAATTAACGGAATACATTCATTATGTTTACCAATATAACTAAGTCCTCGGTGACGGGTCCTGGTATGTTTAAAGCTTCTTGTCTTGGCCTTATCATTCCTAGCCACGCCTTAGAGCCTGGCACATCGAACATTCCTAGGCGATTACTGAAATAATTACGCTGTAGCGTTAACTGAATAAGCTAATTGAATAGTATCGTTATTCTTGGGATGTAAGATCGATTAAAAACAAGTTGAAAAATAGCATCAGATTAAATGCTGTTCGAAACGTTTGATCGTAAATCTTGTGTAAAGATGACCAGGATTAGTTTTCTTAAAATGTTACGGAAATAAATATTAACAAAATGAGGAAAAAATTTAGTTACCCGTCAATTAACACGGTTTTCGTCTTTTTGGTGCGCACCACGATCCTAGACTTTGTCGGTTCCGCCTCCTCGACGCGGATATTCCTGGCGCCGGTCGGGATGTCCGTTATCTTCTTGAGTCCTTAACGCGAAAGTTCGCACTCGAGAGATTATTGCGAAAAGCTATCTCGCAGTATTATTCGTCAAGATTCCAATTTCGGTGCAGTGTCGCTTTGCCATGCAGTACGGAAAGATTTATTTGGCTGTCGCGGTGCTCAAAGCGCCGCTCAGAATTCCTCTGGGATAGAAGACTGAACGTGCGCCTTATGCTTCTGCTCTCGCGGAATTTTAATTCACGAAAAAGTTCCCCGTACTTCTTTATTCGCCGCGCTGTGCCGATGATGTGAAGTTTATCGGTATTTTTGTCAAGTCGCGAAATTCGACGTGGAATAATAAAAGAAAAAGAGAGCGAACGAGCAAAAGAGAGAGAGAAAGAGAAAGAAAATTACTAACAAAAGAATTATTATAAAAATCCAAGAGAGGAATTGATAGAGATTCGCGCGAAATCTCGGCTTAAAAGTATTGATACAAAATTCAACCATAATCTTTGAAGTTTTTTATATATTATAAAAAGTGTTTTAATAATTAAAAAAAAATTCTCTTTGACATTCGATAAAGGCTTCTTATTTAAAATCTTAATATATGAAACAAAACAAAATGTAATCTTCATATATATTTGTTGTTAAGAAACGCGTATTTTATACTTGTATTATATAACTAAATATTGTTTATTCTGACAAGATATGTACTAATATTATCAGTTCTAATATTACGTTCTTTCTTACGTGTTTGAGCCATAAATGATAATGTTCCTTGCTTTAACGTGCACGATGTGCTGTCGCCTCTACAAACTCCGCAAACATCTTCGACGGCAGTTGATTCCATATGTAGATCACAGGGTATCTCCCTGCACACACCCCCGATACAAATGTCTCGAATACCTCTGTAGCACGTAGTACCGTCTATTACCTTTGGTCTCAGCGAGGTCACTAAATTAGTTTCGCTCATGCAATAAAGAGCACAGGGATTTTCAGACATCTTCAAGCCTAAATAAGAGAGATAAATCGTGAAGTTGACAAAAAGTAGAAAAGATTGCTTATGACCTTACTTTCCGGCAGATTATACGCTATCCATTGATGAACTTTTCCATCCTCTGGAAATACCCAATCATTGAATTCGGCACACTGCACGTCACGAAACGATGGCGCGCCGATTTCGCAGGGCTATAAAGAATTATTCGATATTAATATCGCTTTATGTATTAAAAAACGCTCTACTTTTTTGACAGCTTTACAATGCGTTTGAAGCTTCTCATTCAGTTTTTTTATCAGTCTTACAAAAGCATAGTATCGTGGCACTTCTTTTTTATTTTAATAACAGCGCGAACGTTATCATTCGTCACGCTTTCGTTTGTCAACTTTTTTATCCCAAAAAAACATTTTCGATTTCTGTGACAATCACGTGAAAGATGCGATTGTCGCATATGTCGGATGTTTGCATAAGTTCGCGATGTACTTGCTGGAAAGCTGTTTGCGAGCACTCTCGAGACTAACGTTCGTGGCGCAGATTTTGTGACGTTTCCTGTCGCCAATGCAATAAGAGCCGCCTCTGGATGGGGACGGCTGGTTGCATTTTCTTACGGAGTATGACACGCCGGAGCCGCAGGTACGAGAACACTTGCTCCAGGAGGACCAGGCTCCCCAACCGCCGTCTCTTACTCCAGGTCGTTCTCCCATCATTAGACATTTCATTCGGTAACACCACTGTAACAGTCATTAGCCGTGGCTCTAGAAATAATTTACATCATGGAGAACGAAACGGCACGGAAGAGTATTATATACGAAACTAAATAATGTACATCTTTTAAAAGCGCGACGTGAAAATTTATTATGCCGTGCGAGAGATATTCTTCCGCTCTTTGAGACCTCCGTCTTGTTCCATTAGAATCATTAACGTTATTCTCCGAATTTATCGAGTCTCTTTACAATTTCTACAGTTTTAAGTATACTTAAAATTGTTTAAGTTTATCGGGTATGATAATATATCTTCGCTTTTCATTAACAATTTTGTGATTTAAAAATGGTAATTATGCACGCATTTCTGTTCTTGGTTTACTGAATTATTTGTTATGGATAATGTTAAGTTTTAATAGTACACGCTACTCTCTCTCTGTGTTTACAATGCTAATATTGATGCAAATGCAAATTATTTAATATTTAATATAAGTATATATGCTCACAGAGAGGAAAAAGCTAAAATTCATATTCTTCATACAATATATATTTTAATCATTTTCTCTTTCTCTCTCTCTTATTACGTTATACACAAATTCTCGAGAATATCTTTTCGTTTCATTGGAACAACTACTTGAATTTAGCCTTTCCCTTTAAAATGTTCGCATTAAAGTACGCGCTCGATCCCGCGATAACATGCTAACACATCGAATCTACCGTCGACCGACGACGAGATAATTGTTCTTTGTTTCACGAAGTACAATTGTATATCTATTTGTCTATTTCATTCCACGATGATTGCATCGGCTGTTGCGAGATAGACATACAAACAAACTGAATTTTTACGCATGTAGGTAGATCAATCTATTTTTGCAGCTGATGTTATCACTTCGATTTCAATTTTTTTAAATTTCGCAATCCCCTACGCTTCGTCCAATTTTAATCACTAAATTTCATCAGACGGAAATTTGTTTCTTTTTTTACGTCAAATCATTTAAATGAAATATATTAAAAATCTTTATTTTAAATAAAATATCAAGCATCTTTTTTCTAGCAGATCATATTTTAAGGAGCTACATGTATGTCCTGGCTGGTTTTACTAGAATATTGAGAATATTTTACTATTTAAATTAATATGTATATTTAAAATATACATTTGTGAAACTAAATATCTTTGCGCGATTGGTTTATTTATACGGATGTTTGTAAGATCTGCAATGAAAATAAGAGTCATCGCTTATTTTGGCGTGTTGGATTGATCTGCGGCGCGTGTCGACCATTTGACTTTATTCAGGGCTCGCTCGGGTAATTACAGATTATTCGCCGACCAAATTTATGACGAGCTTCATTTCTCAATGGTGATGTTCAACCTCGCCGACATCCCAAAACGGTAGTCGGCCGGCGCTAATGACTACCGTCTGCGCGGTTCGACGTTTTGGCACGTCCGACTATTAATATTGTCACCTAAATCTAATATCTCGTTGATGTCTGGCATTTGGACCGTTTGTCGTCTCGTCATTATGACCTCATGCGCATCTACATTCTATTATATTTCGCGGCGTTTTTGGTAAAATTTCGTTTATAGCATCCCTTTCACGTAATCGCGCATCTTTTTGACCAGTCGCAAAAAACACTTTTTAGCCGACTTTCCTTGTTTAGATTTCCGAAATATTCGTGACGCGACTTGAAACGAATTTTGTCTGGTAAAATGTGAATTTTTATGAGAAATATGCCAAATTCTCCGTATATTCTGTTTTGAATATCGAATTCTTTCAGTAAATTTATTGCTGACTTTTTTGCTTTTTAAAAGTTATGAACTTTAGGTACACATATATTCAAGCAAATTCTTTTATTTCTAAAATAACTTATGCACTAATTATCTATTATATATCCTGCCATATTTAAATTTCAAACAAATCTTTTGAGATGTATATTAATATTATGTAATACTTTTCTGCTCATTAAACAGGAGAGTAATACAAAACGGCCGCATAAAGTTCGTTACTTTTGCAAACTCGCAAAAGCATTATTATGAAAGAGTTTACAATATATTTATTCAATGTTAACTTAACATACTTTGAATGTATTTTAAGTTAATAAAGTGAATTTACAGTCTTTAACATTGCCATACTTTATTGTCTTAAGGACAAATAAAACTTAAAGACTAAAACTGATTTCAATTCTAAAAAAGCGCGTGATTTATGATTTACGGTCGATGATGGGTCGACGATATCCAGATAAATTTTTTAGCTTTCTACTATATGTATATTTTCGTCGTGAGCATCCCTTTCACGTAATCGCGCATCTTTTTGACCAGTCGCAAAAAACACTTTTTAGCCGACTTTCCTTGTTTAGATTTCCGAAATATTCGTGACGCGACTTGAAACGAATTTTGTCTGGTAAAATGTGAATTTTTATGAGAAATATGCCAAATTCTCCGTATATTCTGTTTTGAATATCGAATTCTTTCAGTAAATTTATTGCTGACTTTTTTGCTTTTTAAAAGTTATGAACTTTAGGTACACATATATTCAAGCAAATTCTTTTATTTCTAAAATAACTTATGCACTAATTATCTATTATATATCCTGCCATATTTAAATTTCAAACAAATCTTTTGAGATGTATATTAATATTATGTAATACTTTTCTGCTCATTAAACAGGAGAGTAATACAAAACGGCCGCATAAAGTTCGTTACTTTTGCAAACTCGCAAAAGCATTATTATGAAAGAGTTTACAATATATTTATTCAATGTTAACTTAACATACTTTGAATGTATTTTAAGTTAATAAAGTGAATTTACAGTCTTTAACATTGCCATACTTTATTGTCTTAAGGACAAATAAAACTTAAAGACTAAAACTGATTTCAATTCTAAAAAAGCGCGTGATTTATGATTTACGGTCGATGATGGGTCGATGATATCCAGATAAATTTTTTAGCTTTCTACTATATGTATATTTTCGTCGTGTTTTTTTTCATGAGATATCTAAAATTTTTTGATGTAATAGCTTCTTGATGAAAGGGGTTTTTGAGAACTCGGATTAATTCATTAATATGTAATTCTTCTTTGAATCTGCACTTGAATACGTTTTTAAGTCTCTCAGAAGTAAGTAAGAACTTATTCATTAATTATATATATATATATATATATATATGCAAAAGCTGAGTAATTATCATAAATCTTTAATAATTTCAAAATAAATTAACTTTCTTTGACATAAACGTAATTGGCATTGATCTACATCTCTAAAATAAAATGTTCAAGATTTGGGAAATATCCTTATGCTTTTTTAAAGATTATATAATTATTGCAATCTAGGAACAAAGTTAGATTATTTAGTTAAAAAAAAGAAAAAGATTTGTGAAAATCTTCCAAAAAAATGTTTATTTCTGAAAAATAGGCCTAGATATCGATGAATTATTACTTTTTCGTTTTATCACAGCCTTCGCGATACCGGGGACGGATCATTATTTGTGCCTTACTTTACACTCTTTATTCGTAAGTGATAATTTTTACCCTTTTCTCACCGCACGAGGTGCCCTCCGCAGGTGGTTTCTTGCTAGACACGCAACCTCTACCCGGAATAGCGCACCTGAGGGTTTCGCAAGTCTGAAAACGAGAACGAGATCGTTTCACTTTAGTTAAATGCGTGCCGATCGCGATATCTCGACGCGATATCGCGACTCCTCCGGTCTCTTATCTAACGCCGTGTGTAATCGGCGCGCGTATTTTCCTAAACGGATAAGGTAGGCCGCAAAGGCAAAGACTTGTAGATGCTAACAGCAGATGGTGCCTCTTTACGGGCGACGTGCGTCCGCAAGTCACTGATACGATAATATAAGCGTTATCGGATTCGTTAACGGCGTTGATTACACTTAACGTTTTTATCATTAGCAATGATTAACGCGACATTACTTTTTAACAAGGTTGCATTCTTAATCTACGCTTGACTTACGATCCCCATATCGCATTGCCGAGCATCTGATCGATATAGTAAACGGCATTGATCGTCACCGTTATACATCACGCCAGGCAACATTTCCGCGGCGGGAAAATGATGATCTTGTGGCTCGTCCTCTAAGCAGAATGCCAAACCTTGCCTGAAATTGATTTCTCTAAAGTCTTATCATTTGAATATCGTATATATTATATGTCACAGTATAAAGTTGGCAATTCCTCATCTGCTAAAGCGATTTCAGTCTTTATTTTCTCAAAGAATCTCAGATTTCTATGGTTTTAAAACATTAAAAAAAAAAGGTTTGGTAATTAAATAGGTCTAAAGATTAAAAAACAACGTATAACTTCTACAAAAATTAGTAATAATTTTTTACATTTTAATTACAATTGTTTACCTTTTCATATCATCATTGTATTATCATCGAGTTCTACGAGAGACAACGACTGAGGTGCTGTTAATTTAATTTGAAATTTACGGTCATAGATAAGGCATTTTATACTTTTCTATTCTTAGAGAACACGCGGAGTAGATGAGGAAAGCAGCTGGGTTGGTGGCAAACTTTAATAAAGCCGCCAGCGAAAAAGTAACAAGCATTAAGCTCACTCGATGTACGAGCGCAGGTACCGCCGAGAGCACTCGGACCATTTTTTCGTGATGTACATGTCGCCGGGATGCATAACGGTGGTCTCCGCGTATCCGTTCCCGTGATAAACTATACCGGGGCAGCCGTTCTCCCGTTGCACATCGTGGGACATACCCAGGCTGGTAATGAGAAAAAGAAAATCGGCTTTTCGGAGTAGAATATTTATTGGGGCACGCGCGTCGTCCGGACTCGCTCTTAAAAGGCATTCGGGGTACACGACGACAAGGAGCCGCTTCATACATTAAACAACGACCTCGACCGTGACTTATTTACGACGACGCCACGGCATACCATTATTTCCACTCTCGGGCAAAGAAATGGTCTTTAGGAATTTATTTCGAGTTTTTTTTCCCTCATCGGCTGTAAAAAGGGACCAGTCAATGGCGTAACCAACCGAAGGGGAACGACTATCGGGACAGTATCCGTTCTAGAATATTCCTTTTGGTCGAAATGAAGGTATATGAAACATCCGTTGTGGTGAAAACAGAAACTGTTTACCGCGTTAATGTTACGTATACACGCGCGCATGTACACTATATCGCGCGTATAATTTATCAAATTAACATTATAAAATTAATGTGGTTGTTTAATACGATATTTCGTACGAAAATGACGACAGTATTTACACTGCAGAATTGCCATTACGTTTTTACGTTGTAGTGTAATTACTCGAAGCTTTTCCCACCGCGTCTAATCAGGTGGGAGCGGATGAAATTAATTTCACGCTTACGTGTGGCCGATCTGATGAGCTATATGATAACCGGTTGGCAGACCGGCATCTCTCACAATGGCAGCGCCTCTCAAAGGATCACACGTACCAGCAATCGTGGATGTTCCGGTGAAACCGCAGAGGTTTCTCGAGACACAGATATCTAACCTGGCGAGTCATCGTCAGAAGAGTGAATATCCGTAAATCTCGAAATTAGATTGAATTTCCGACTGTACTGCGCATACCTGCTAATGAGAATCGCACAATCGTGGTGATTCGGGTGGGAATCGTCGCCAGGATTCATGATGTATTGCCACTCTTGAAAACGCTTTAACGTCGTACCCGCGTCTTGATTTATCGATAAATTCATCTGCGATATATTTAACAAAGTATTAAATCCATGTCATTTTAAACACGTGAATCATATATATAGATTTTGAAATTATCTAAAAAAATATTTTTATAATATATTTATATATAAAATTAAATAACAAAGAAGATTTAACTCGAGACAGAGAAAACTTCTGTTGATTATTTTACCTCATTTTCTTCCACTTCTAATCTTATAATTCTCACTATAGTCAATTGCATGTGTACACCTAAACTGACATCATGAAACAACCCTGCAGCCTGAGAAAAAAAGATTTTTTAAAATGTCTATTAAAAATGAATTTGTAACAGATTTTGAAAGGATTCAACTCGCCATGTTGCAGAGCGTCAGTATATAATTTTCGACATCAAACGACATTTTTCTGTAATAATCTAACAAAGATTTGTCCAATACGACCAGCAATTCTAACGTGTATGATTTGAACTCATTCGATTCTGTGAGTGCTTTCTTCTGCGAATTCAAAGCACGCTTGGCAATGATTCTAGATGTATTGTTAATGACATCGCAGAGATTCTGCATAGCAGTAGTCTGAAAGTCATCTGGACTCCTTTTATACACAATATGCGGTTGCTCTATTTCTTTGGTAAAATCATGGCCCGCTACTGGCTCGATCATGTACCACGCACGTTTCGTTTTGATGTATCCAACCTGAAGATTAAAATAATGGATCGTGGTTTGTTCAAAATTCGCAGCTAATTTATTTGTATCAAAAGTTAAAAATTTCCGGTGCTTTCTGTCACTTAACTTTTTCCATTCTATATATTTCACACAACAATAGAGATGCAAATGGAGTTTAATCGATTAAACCTGGCATGCTTTATCGCAATCACACAATATTTCAATTGAAAAAGATTGATGTTTAACTAACGAGTCCATAACAGGTAGATAAAGCGCTATCTTCCAATTGGTTGCGTACACGGGCCCGATAGTGGCATTGCGTGTCTCGTAACCGCTTCAATCGCATGTTATTCAAGAAATCCTGCGATCCTTGACGTTTCTCGACTATTGCACCTGGTCCAAGAAGTCGATAATTGGGATATAGTTCGATGTGATGCTCTTCGAGACCAATACGTAAGCGATAGTGAACGGTGTCGTCGGATGTAGTTCGATTTTGATAGAAAGAACGCTCAAAATGATGAGGTATTTGATGAGATACAAAACTTCCATCCGATCTGACCTTCCGTGGTATTACTAGTTCATGGTCGTCTGGTAATTTAGCAGCACGTGTATAACGCCCTTAAGAAAAAGATTTAGTTGTCATTATTGATGATGATATTGATATTTTTTTCTTTAATTATACAAAATATGTTTTATAATTATATAATTGTATCACAGAACAGTAATTAGTTAAATATTAAGCTAATTAAAAGTAAACCTATGTCAAAATGTGTGGTATATTTACAATTTAAAAATGTATCTTTCACTTATCAATAGTTTCATACATTTTATTTTATTACAATGTTATTCAAATTTCTATTTATATGAGAAAAATGTTTGTGTGAAAATTTTATAAATAATAATCACTTATATTCGAATACAATACTAATAATATTTCGTCATTGACCATTTCCCATTATTTAATTTTCAACGTTGCATAATAATAATAATGCTACTCCATAATATCACGAAATATCTATTAAAATTTTAGCATCCTATACACGTTTCGATTAATGAACGTACAATTAAGCAGCGATCAATCAATTATAATGTACACATATATAAAATTGATTTGTAGATACATCATATTTCAAAACTGACGAAAGATATGCAGAGTCAGATTTCCATTGTGCAAATTTGAAAAAATGTTATTCGAAAAAATCGATCTATAAGAAAATGTGTATTGAAGAAATCTAACACACAGAATCGGACGGATGTCGATATTGTAGCAAAGTCAAAAATATTTTCAACAAAGTCACAATTTTTCCATTTGCGTCTTTTCGTTGTATCATTTTGTTGTAAAAATATAGGAAGAAGCTTTCTCGTATAGGTGAAAATGTTACAGACAGCGAGGTCTCTCTATATCAGGTATCAATTTCGTCATTGTATACTGCGGAAGAGCACGATAAGACGGGAAAGGCAGAGAGAAAGAGAGAGAGAGAGAGAGAGAAAGAGAGAGAGAGAGAGAGAGAAAGAGAGAGAGAGAGGGGGAAAGAGAGAGAAGGAGATAAATAAAGAGAAAGAGACAAATAAAGAGAAAGATGAAGCCACGGCAAGCACATATAATAGATCATCATTTTATGATATAAGCGCAGCAGTTTTCCTGCAGTGCTATATCATATAGAAATGTCATTTGCAGACATGGCATTTAAACTTAAAAAAATATTTATCCTGTTTCAGACTATTGGACACTCAATTAACAATTGGGTATTCAATTAACCATTTAATCAATATGTTTAATTAAACATTTTAATATATATCTGTCAAACTGTTATACTTACGAAAATATTTAATATTCTGACAAAACGAAACTTTTTTCCAATAAAATTTTTTCTCCTTTATATATTTAAAAATATTTTGGGAGATGTGTTATTTTTTTTGAAAATACATGAAATGGAGAGACAGATAGTTTAAAAGATGCCATGCTATCATGCTACAGCATCCAGAAGAATCCTCTTAAATCGAGCTCGTAACGAAAAGAAAGCATGTTTTCGTTTTCGATGTGTCTGTGGCTACGACCGCAATGCAGACAAGGAAGGACCGCATAAAGATGTGATGTACAATGGGTCATCTTCTCATACTGCGACCCGCTACTCTTCTCTCTGCTGCTCGCGAAACCGCGAAAAATAGCTCTCGCGTGCGCACTGTGCTCGACAAGAGGAAAGCTCTGGTCTGATAGATGGCAATGACTTTCTCGAAATAGCACAGACTGATAGGATACGAAAAAATACTGGAATAAAAAGATTGAAGTAGAAATTTTTTCTGTGAGAGATTATAAAAATAACATTTTGATTTATACACAGCATCATGTAGTTTATATATTTTATTTGTTATTTGTTTTTTTTTCCTATATTTTTTGTGCTTTCATTTTTTAATATTTAAAAATTTATATGAATATGCATATTTTTCTGAAAATTATTTCTTTTCGTTTTTATATATGTATAAACTTGTAGTATTAATCATGTATAAATATGATTAATATTACTGTTTTAAGAGAGAAAAAAGGATGAGAAATTACAGATTTAGTTGAATAAAGCAATTAATCACATCATAATTTTTTTTAATAAGTTTTAAATTTTTATTTTTATTTATATTAACACACAGCACAGTTGAATCAAATTTCATTAAAATTTTTAGAAATTTGTGGAAGTTAAATTAAATAAAATCATGAAAGTCACAAAGAAAATTTACTGAGTTAAGTATATAAATTGCATACCATGATAATCAGTATAAATTTGCTGGCTATGAAATGTCACGAGCACAAACAGGCAAATGGATGAATAAGGCGACAAGCGTTTCATCATAATATCGTACGATCTTATCGCAATGTGCATCCGTCTCCAGCAAACATTGGGCCAGAAATGCCAGTTTGGTTAATAAAATTAAGGGAGTTAATCTGTTTGACGTGACACATGCCATACTACATATATATACTGTAGAGCGTC